AGTTGGGGTGTTGAAAGGCTGAGCACGAAGGAAAAAAAGAAAACAACCTCCAGGTCCAGGACCTGAACTGCAATTGGCTATGTGGGAACCCAACGCCCTTAACCACTACATCACCTGCTGGCCCCTCTACCTACTACATTTTATCACCAATTTACAAGAAAATTGAAGGTCCATGAGGCTAGCCAAGCCCATGGTCACACAGTTGGGGTGTTGAAAGGCTGAGCACGTGGGGCCCACTGGCTTCAATATCTGTGTTGCTCGGTCTACCCAACACTTTCTCCCAGGAAGCCTCCTTTCTAGGTCTGACAGTCCCTGTCACTGGGGGACAGTCAACAAACCACAGTAGAATGAACGAACGTCATGAAGGACCTACAAGTTTCCTTTCAGGAGGAAATATCCTAAACTCCTGCAATTCAAGATCATGACGAATAAATGTTAAACACTTCGGGAACGGCAAGAGGTCATACCTGGTAAACAGTCAACCACAACACTCTGTTCACGCTGAACAGTACTCCTTAATTACTGTTTCGGAATTCTTGGCGCACTAACCTTCAACAAACTCTCTTTTGAGTTGGTTCTACTCTAACTGAATGCTAGCAGCAACTATGGATGTAATAACCTGTGAGGCAACATCAGAACACAATTAGCTCCTAACTGGAAGTGAAGAGCGCATGTGCTACTACAGATCCTTAATAGCTTGAGGGCCAATCAAATTCCCTAGCTTGAGCCAGTTTCCTTCAGGTAAAATCACCCTTCCAGGCCCAGTGCTCCTCCTACAGAGTGATGGGAGATGTCACACAGGTCTCAGGGACTCGCTGTAGCTTAGACATTCCACACTTGAACCTGAAAACCGTCCATGATCATTTTCACACATTTCTTCAAAGCAGGAGTAACAAATCCGCCACACACAGAAGCAAAGCCTTAGTCCTAGCTCTGACGCTCAGGTGCCTGGAATCGAAGAGACTTTCACACCGGGCCTCGGACGCCCCGCGAGACCCTTTGGAAGGGCTCCACTGCCACCTTGTGGTCACACAAGCTCTGCTGTCCGCAGAGAGGCTCGTGCGGTGCGAAGCTGTGAGCAAACTCTAACCCACTTCTTTGACAAGAACGGTTATAACAACTTGTGACATGCCCCAATAAGCTAAAAGAGAAGAAAGGTATTAACGTGTTCTGGCAATAACCATAGGTTGGGAGTAGGTTATTTTAAACAATTGGTTTCTCCAGGGCCATCATACCTGAGCCGATCTGTGTACACTGCATGCTCTTAGTTCAGAAAAAGCAAGTGCTTCCCAAATTTCTTTTCTACTGTGTCAAAGCAAACTATTTTACAACTGCAAGAAAGAGTCTAACTCTAAGACTTTATTTTCTCCTGCCCCTATTTTTCCCTTCTCTTTCCTTCGTTCCTTCCCTCTCCTTCCTTCTATATTTCATGTAAACATCCCTGTTTAAATTTCTTCACAAAGAAAGCCTTACAGCAAACCCATCTGCCACCTGCTGGCTGTGTGACTTTGGGAAAGTTCCTTAACCTTTCTGCTCTGTTTAAACATCTAGAGGAATGGTTTGTTTTCTTGTGGTTTTTTAGGGGCAGGAGTGGGTGGGTCTGTAGAGACAGGGACTGGCTTAGGGGCTGAAGGAAAGGAGGAATGGGTACAGGGGTCCTGCCCTCCTCCTTCCTCTTTCCTCCTGCCAAAAGGCTCAAGTGCCTGCCCAGAGAGACAGAGACTAGAGAGGGAGGGAGAGGGAGAAAGACCCCCCCACGTGCGGCACGGCCACGTCGCAGTCCCTTCTGCTCCCATTGCCCATCCTGTTGGGAGTCGGGCATGTGCACAGGTCCGTGGAGTGCTTTCACACCGCCAGGGCTGGGGCTCGAGCTGCGGTCGGCCACGTGGGACCCAGCTCCTTAGCCACCAGGCTGAGGACAGGGTTTCTTTGAAGGGTGATAAGTAAGTCTTGGAATTAGATAACAGCGATGATCCGTGAGTAGACTAAGAGGACGTCAAACTGTACAGTAAATGGGTGAGCATGTCAGTTAAATGTCAGCACAGCCGTTAAAACAGATTTCAGGGGCCGGCGGGGGGGGGGGGGGGGGGGGTGGGCTAAGGGCTCCACTGCCACCTTGTGGTCACACAAGCTCTGCTGTCCGCAGAGAGGCTCGTGCGGTGCGAAGCTGTGAGCAAACTCTAACCCACTTCTTTGACAAGAACGGTTATAACAACTTGTGACATGCCCCAATAAGCTAAAAGAGAAGAAAGGTATTAACGTGTTCTGGCAATAACCATAGGTTGGGAGTAGGTTATTTTAAACAATTGGTTTCTCCAGGGCCATCATACCTGAGCCGATCTGTGTACACTGCATGCTCTTAGTTCAGAAAAAGCAAGTGCTTCCCAAATTTCTTTTCTACTGTGTCAAAGCAAACTATTTTACAACTGCAAGAAAGAGTCTAACTCTAAGACTTTATTTTCTCCTGCCCCTATTTTTCCCTTCTCTTTCCTTCGTTCCTTCCCTCTCCTTCCTTCTATATTTCATGTAAACATCCCTGTTTAAATTTCTTCACAAAGAAAGCCTTACAGCAAACCCATCTGCCACCTGCTGGCTGTGTGACTTTGGGAAAGTTCCTTAACCTTTCTGCTCTGTTTAAACATCTAGAGGAATGGTTTGTTTTCTTGTGGTTTTTTAGGGGCAGGAGTGGGGGGGTAGTGATTTTTGTTATAAGGTGTGTGCACCAGAGAGACAGAGAAACAGAAAGTGAGAAATCACGCCCTGGGGGGATGGCCACACCGCAATCCCATCTCCTCCATTCTCCTCTCAGGATCTTGGCAACCCACACACACAAGTCCAGCATGAGTTTTAAGCCCCCCGGGGTCCAGGGACTCCAACTGCAGTCAACTAGTTGGGCTGAGTCCAGCAACATAACCATTACATCAACTGCTGGGCCCTAGAGGAATGGTTTTTAGTCTTAAGGATCATGGGGGTGGTGAGAATGACAAATAATAATAGGCAACAGAGACTGTTTATGGTCCACAAAGCTGGAAATATTCACTTCCTGGCCCTTTGCAGAGAAAGTATGCAGCCCCTTCCCCTAACCTACAATCTGAAGCACACCGTGTCATCCATACACATGCATTTAAAAAAAAAGAAAAAGAAAGAAATCTGAATCTAGTGAAGATGTTAGCTCTCACTTGACAGGAAGCAGGAGAGTGGAGCAAGTTAAAAAGCACAACTCTTGCCCATGGCAGACACTGCAATGTGACCCCGAGAATCAGTCCCCTGATTACTGTGAATGGATCCCAGCCGAGCTCCTCTCCAGGAATTTCCCAGGGCCACCCTGCCCCTGGGTTGTCACCTCTTCCATGATTGGTTGATGTGAGCATCTCTGGCCTCATCTTGGGTACTCTCTGCAGGACCACCCAGCTCCACAGCAGTCCCCGGAGGCCTCACCTGCTACTGCATGGCTGTTTGATTTCACCCTCCACCCAAGCCTGGGTCCTTCACATTCTCAAAAGCATTGATCATGGGAACCTTCAAATCCCTGTCCCTGATCATGAGAAACTGCACACAAATCCCTGTCCCAGAGTCTGTTTTCCATAAAACATGATCTAACGGATTCTGCTACAGTTTGCCCCAAACATACCAGCTAGAGTCATCCTGTTCAAAAGTTAGTCAGATCTTTATCCCTTTGTTCAGATCCCTTCAACAACTCCCACCTCATGAGAATCAAGGGATGAGAGCCTTGCCACCTGCACCCATCCCGTTATTGTTTTGACCTCGCATCCTGCCCCTCTGGCCCTTGATGACACCAACTGCACTAGCTTTCTGGTTGTTCCTTAAACACACTAGCAGGCATCCTCCTGCCCCCGAGACTTTGCACACCCTATGTCTTCCTAGCTTCCTCATTGCCCAGTTACATACACAGCTTCCTCTCCCACCTCCTTCTAGTCTTGACTCAACTGTCAGTGAAAGTCCCTAGGTTCCTTGAGATTCCTCTTCCTTGTGGTTTTCTCCATAACACCTATCATAATATGCATACTGTATATTTTACTTACTTATCAGTCCAATGGCTGTCTCCCCCATAAGAATGCAAGTTCCAGCAGGTAGCATGGTGGTCAAGGTGGCTGGATCCCACGTGGCCAACTGAACAGTTGGAGACCCAGACTCAGAGGCTTGGAAAGCATGCCAGGCATATATGCATGCATGCCCAAAATCCCAAGGAGAATGGAGAAGGGGACACAGTGTGGCTACATCCCCCGGGAAGGTGCTAACTCTCCACCTCCCTCTCTGTCCCTCCCATGTTAACACACATGCCCCAAGCAAATTACAACAACAACAACAACAAGAATGTAAGCTCCATAGGGATGATACTTCTGTTCTTTTCATTGCTATATCGTTAGAATCTGGGATAGTAGTGGCTTTATCAGTCTTGAACAATCGAGTTCATGAATGAATGGAAGACTGTAGATATGGAATCAGGCCTATGATCTGCAGGAAGTCCCTCAAACCACATCTGATTTCCTTCCCATGAAAAACAAAAACCATACTCCCAATGTTATTTTGGTAAGGATTATGCAATGGAACATTTGTGAAAGGATCACCAAATTAACTGTGAAGTAAATGTAACTTGCACTTTTTTTTTTGTAGAAACTTTGCTTAAATGGATTTTTCCCCATGTGTCCAAGGCATGAACCAGGCATGGGCACTGACCAAAAGCCACGCTGGGATACACGAGGGTTTGCTTTGTCCCTGGCTGATATGAGATGGGCACCACCAGCCAGATGCCACTCTGCCCAGACCAGGGACATGAAGTGGAAATCTCCACCAGTGAACAAGTTAATTTTATAACCTAAGAGCTACCAGACACCAGATTGCCCCCCAAAATCAAGCAGACAACACTCAGACACAGAAGACCTTGAAAGTAATTCTGATATTCAGATAAAATATAAAGAGATTTATTCCAAAACCACACCCAAAATGTACGATGAAACGTATCCCTTTTAAGACTTAATTAATACAAAGAATTCTTACATCTTAAATTTTATAACAATTTGAAGACCTTTGGTTACCATTAAAAAGTTTGATAAAAATTAATTTCATAAGTAAAGTATCAAATGTACTTTCTTGTGTATATAAAAAGTATTCTCTTTAAATAAATGCAAAATATTCAAATACAATAGTTTTATTATGAAACTGCTCAGTTTCTATAATTCTCCCTAGTCTATAGAATCATGTTTTTTTTTTTAATAAGGTTTTTGTCATAGGGCATGTGCATTCACTAGAGAGAGACAGAGAGACAGTGAGAGGAAAAGTGAGAAATCATCCCTAGAGGGATGGCCACACTGCAGTTCCTTCTCCTCCGTACTCCTCCTGGGATTTTGGGCACGCATGCACACGTACCCCATGTGATTTTGAAGATCCCAGATGCAGGACTCAAACTGCAGTTGGCCACGTGGGAGACCAGCACATTAACCACCACGCCACCTGCTGGTCCCTTCATGTGCTTCTTAAAATGAACTTAAAAGATATAGGCTGAAACTCCATCTAGATTTTTTTCAGCTGTTCATACCTCACTGACTCATAGTGCAAACCCACCTTCATAATTCCTTTCATGTGAAATATCTTCCCAGTGGTACTCAGCTAAGAAAATAGCAATCCTGTCATTTCAAAATTCATAATAGGTTGTCATTTCTTTTTCACACAATTTTAAGATCCAAATCAAAGTTATTACTATATTTTTTTACAGGAATTTTAATAAATATTCTTAAACTCTAGAAAAACTGCTCATAAAACTTTAAAACAGGGATCAACAAATGTTGTTCTGTAACAATCCAGATATAAATATTTTGTTCTGCAGGTCATCGCTTCTCTGTTGGATATTCTTTTCACCTTTTTTTAAGGTATAAAATATATAAAAACAAAAAATAAACACTGTTTAAATTTGCTGTAATTTCCCCCCACTTTAAAAAGTTGCAATAACTAGTCTCTAAATTAGACTACTCAAGTGTTAATAAAATGTAAAGTTCACATTTTGCAGTAAAATAAATCCATGGTTTTTGATGGTTAAAAGTTCATAAAGAGTAAGAAAGGAATCCCATTTAAAGAGTGGGACTACATTTCAGATATTCTTTTTAATCAATGGCACTTTCCATGACTTTTTCATTTCGATTGGATAATTCACACGTGTCTTTAACTTTTGTTGGTTTTTCATTTTACTCTTTTACATGGAAACGATTTCTTCATTGTGGCTAAGCTGAAGTTTGTAAAATAAAAGACTAAAATGCTTTCATGTTGATAGAGGTAGATGCATACACACTGGTATATGCTGTTATAAACACTTGTATGCTAGAAACCACTCTTTTATACAGAATTCAAGATAAATACTCTCCACAGCTAAGAGGGACTCAGCAAAAATCAGCTGGAACGTATGTAAATAGTCCTCTCATTCGTTTTTATCACATGTAGTTGTAACGTTCTGGGAAAACATGATTTGAATAGGAAATACGTGCATATAAAATAACACAGCAGCATGATTTACTCAGGTTTTGACGTATATACTCTGGAGTGAACAAAACACTGAGCTGTAACATGGCCCTTAGATGGGTAGTGAGACTCACAATTGAGTGTGTGTGTGTGCACGCGTGTGTGTGGTGCATGTTTTCATTTCCTACCACATTGTTCTTAACAGACTGTGGCAAAAAAAGAATAGTTGTGAATTTACACAAATATTTCAAAAACAAGGTGGAACTCTCTGGAATTACAATCACATGACATTCCATAAGAACATTTACAAATTCTAAAGCTGAGAAAGTTAATAACTTTGGTAAACCTCAGTTACACCAGTGAGCCCAGGCCCAATTTTTGATCTATAAAAAGTAAGGTTTTCAGTGCAAAAATATCTATGCTACTGATAAATAGCAATAACACAAAAATTACCAGGAAACATTTAAAGACTGTAAGACATGTAACAATATCCTGAAGGCAGGTTTTGGTATAGAAAAGTAGATTTAGGGGTGAGGAAATAGATTGTTTTTCCTGACTTAAGAAATCTTGAGTCTGGGTATTGGAGTTTAAGCGCTCTCATTTTGCAGACAGACTCAACACATTTACAGCTCATCATGCTTCTTCTTAAACGGCCACTTCGGGTGTTGCAACACATGGTCTGCAGCCTGAAGGACAAGGTACATAAATTCTTCTACGTCAAAAGAGTAGTTGGTAAATTTCGGGTGCTCCCCCAGAGTTGGATGGTGGCCCTGCAAAAAGAAAAAACAAAAAACAAAACAAAACAAAAACGCACACACACACAAAAACACAAACACCAAAACACAAATCCACAAGTCATAAGAGGGCATGACGTTCTCTGTAGGAAGAAACTTATTTGACTTTGCCAGAGGCGAAGTTCTTAACGTATGCTCTCCCTCAGAAGCAGGCAAATGTTTTCTGTAAAAGGCCAGATAATGACTGTTTCCAGTGCTGCCAACCATATGGTCTCAGACACAGTTACTCAGCTCTGCCACCAATGGGCACGAACAGCCATAGGTAACACATACACTGATAAACATGACTGCAGCCAGTAAAACGCTATTTACAGACAGATGTTATGGGCCAGATCTGCTCCACAAGGCTGCAGCTTCCTGAACCCTGATATAGATAAGAGGGCTTCAAAAATGTCATGGAAAAAGTGTATTACAAAAAAACGATAGGGCCAGTTAGTGGTATGGTGGTTAGGATGGCTGGATCTCACGCCCTGATATAGATAAGAGGGCTTCAAAAACGTCATGGAAAAAGTGAATTACAAAAAAACAATAGGGCCAGTTAGTGGTATGGTGGTTAAGATGGCTGGATCTTACATGGTTGACTATATAATTCAAGTCCCAGACCTAGCAGCTTGGAAAATACTGGGAATATGTACATGCATGCCCAAAATCCTGAGAGGAAAATGACTAAGAGATTGCAGCATGGCCATCCCCTTGGGGGATGATTTCTCACTTTTCCTCTCTCTCTCTCTCTTAATATATTGTCTGTCTCTGTTCGATAAGTGCACACATTCTACTGTAAAACTAAAAAAATAAAATAAAATAAACACATACAAAACTATGCATGGATTTCAAAAATTTTTGCACCAAAATAAACTCATACTTTAATTCAATTTTCCACAAACTTTCAATTTGCCAGAGGCCATGTGCACTCACCAGAGAGACACAGAGAAACTGAGCATTATAGGGAGAAAGTACCTCTCAGTGGGGCATGGCCATGCTGTAATTCCGTCTTCATTTCTCCATCCTGTCAGGATCTCGGGTATGTGCACACACACACACACACACACACACACACACACATAGTATGTTTTTCAAGCTGCTGGAGCCAGGATTCAAACTGTAGTCAGCCATGTGGGATCTGGCTCCATTAACCACTAGGCTAAAGGGCTGGCCCTCCACAAACTTCTAAAGTCCTATCATATAATCTAACAGACCTGTCTAGGCCCAATTTCACAAAGCTGTATGAACAATGTTAAAGACACAGTGTGGTTAATTTCCCTTTATATCTGAGTGGCAAATACAAAATACAACTCATTATTCCAGAGAAGAAAACTGTTTATCTTTGGATAGAAATTCCCCGGTGGCTTTTCATATTAATAATTAGACTCTTTGATCTCTTTTCAGCCTTTTGGCTGAGATCAAGTGCAATAATTGGATACCTTAAGCCAATTAAAAATAAAACCAGTTGAGTTTTCTGGTTGAACTTCACCTTGTCTTGAGGGAAGACTTTATTCTGCCTTTTCCATGTGATGTAGTAGATGCCTCTCAGCCTGGCCAAGTCCAGGTAGCAGCGCTCATCCTCACAGTTGTACCTGAGGACACAAGGGCACGACAACATGAGGCTTTCAGCCCATCAACAATTCTCTGGGTGAAAAATGCACTGCTCCACTGTGTTCCTGCAAATGGTTCTGTCAATAATAGACAAGACCAAGGAAGATCATTTAAACAACAGAATAGAATCAAGGAATGGAGGGAAATGATACTATTCAATAGGACCTAGTTCCTATGAGCTTGCTGTTATCTCATGGCATCACTGTTGAGAAGTGCCCTGGGGGTTTTAGGTAACACATACAAGGCCACACACCGAGTTAGGAAAACAAGCATCATCCAGCCCTGGTCTATGGGACTCCGAGGCCTGAGCTTTCTGGGTTCTCTCTCTCTCCCTTCCTCCCCTTTCTCCACCCTTACCTCTCTCTAGGAAAAATAAATCCATAATTTTATGGCTATTTCTCTAACATATGCGTATTTTTAAAAAGTCATTTCCTAAGTAACCACCGACTTAAATACCGAGCCAAGTTATTTTAAAAATGAAAACATGGGCCAGCAGGTGGCATGGTGGTTAAGGTGCTGGATTCCCATATGGCTGACCACAATTCAAGTCCCAGACCCGGTAACTTGCTTTCTCATTTTCCCTATCTCTCTGTCTCTGTCTTTCTCTGGTGAGCACACGTGCTCTGTAACAATTTTTTAAAAATAATAATATTAAAGAAAATTAGATATTGAGTTGTTGGGCAGGCATGATGCATTTTTACATAGAAAAACGTAGAAAAATACCTCATGACTTTCCCAACAACCTAATAAATAATTCTTTAAAATCATGAAACCATTGGGCCAGCAGTTAGCGTAATGGCTGTGTCGCTGGACTCCCATGTAGTCGACCGCAGTTCGAGTCCCAGACCTGGTGGCTTAAAACTCATGCCAGGTGCGTGTGCATGCATGCCCAAGATCCCAAGAGGAGAATGGAGGAGAAGGGATTGTGGCGTGGCCATCCCCCCTGGGGGGTGATTTCTCACTTTCTTTCTCTCTGTCTCTCTCTGTCTTCCTGGCAAGTGCACATGCCCTATAGCAAAAACCTCTAAAAAAAAAAAAATGAAACTATAATATCAAAATATACAGACTCAAAGGAGGAAAATTAGCTAATAGAAACTGCTGTTAGTCAAAAACTAAAGATGGGACATGATGTCAAGAGTAAAATTATCAAGGGTTTAGAAGGTCGTGTCACCTTAACTAACAACCAAGTTAGAGGAGTGTCCCGGGCAAAAAGAAGGTCGTGTCATCTTAACTAACAACCAAGTTAGGAGTGTCCCGGGCAAATCACTTACACCCGAGGGCCTCAGTGTCCCCGTGTATGGAACCAGGTAAAGTGAGCACTGGGTCAAGCAGGTGGGTTGTGTATTAGAAACTGCATTATACAGAGACAGTTTCTCTCTTAACTTGGTGTAGACTGAACATCCCTTAATTCAAAAATCCAAAATCCAAAGTCTGAAACTTTTTATGTGCCAACATTATGCCATTACTGAAGCTCCACACCTGACATCATGTGTCCCATTGCAGTCAAAATACTGCATTACAAAGATATTGTATAAAATTACCTTTAGGCTATGTGTCTAGAGTGTATAGGATACATACATGACTTCTATGCTTAGACATGGATCTTAGCACCAAGATACCTCTTTATGAAAATGCAAATATTACAAAATCTCAAAAAAAACCCTGAAATCCAGAACACTTCTGGTCCCAAGCATTTCCCATGAGAGGTATCAACCTGTCCTCATAGTGACTGCAGGAGATACTCAGTTTGAGAGGCAAGTGGGAATGAACTCAGTAAGGAAATCCCACGTTCACACCCCAGACCATGCCGGAGATGGGGAGAGTGGGTCGTCTGCTTACTGTGTGCTCTAACGGGCTGCACACTTTACATTTTTAGCCTTCAGTCCTTTTTCCTTTCCAGACACCTACGTGATATGATTTCTGTGCAATGATTAATATTAAACCTTTTGGGGTCAGCAGATGGCGTGGTGATTAAGGCGCTGGACCCTCCCACATGGTCAACCATGGTTTGAGTCCTGGACCTGGTGGCTTGTTTTCTCACTTTCCTTCTCTCTGTGTGCCTGTCTTTCATTGGTCAAATGAAAGTGACTAAATGAATAAATAGTGATATGATTTCTGTGCAATGATTAATATGAAACCTTTTGGGGTCAGCAGATGGCATAGTGATTAAGGCGCTGGACCCTCCCACATAGCCAACCATGGTTTGAGTCCCGGACCTGGTGGCTTGTTTTCTCACTTCCCTTCTCTCTGTGTGCCTGTCTTTCACTGGTCAAATGAAAGTGACTAAATGAATAAATAAAATTGAATAAAATTTTAAATATTAAGTCTTTTGATAATCAGAATGAAAGTCTTAGCACACATAAAAAGCATTATTACTCTCAGTGTAAAAGGGCCCCCAAACACTTACAGTTCGAATACAGCAGCCCAGTCTGGAAGGAAGAGTAAATGGGTAAGACCCGCTCCGTGCATCCCAATAAAGATGTCCGTGTTGTGTGTGATCTTTAGTTGATCTAAAAATCCAAGTTGTCTGTGAACATACACAACACAGGAGAGATGAAGAGAGAGAAGTGTTATGTTAAATAAGCTCGTAACTCATGGTAACAGTATTTATATAAGTGTATTTCTGACTTAAATCATATCCCATCTTGACATTTTTGTCCATTTCAAGCACAGTCTTATAATTTATAACTTAATTTCTTAACTTAAAACAATTTTTTCTGAGTGCATCTATCTTTTTAGAATTACATACTTTTATATATATTACTTTTTTATTTAATTGGTACAGGGTGTGTGCGCTCACCAGAAAGAAAGAGACACAGAGAGAGAGAGAGAAAGCACCTCCAATCCTTTCTCCCCCAATTCTCTACCTTGTTGGGGGTTGAGGAATGCACTCACAAGGAACTGGCGTATTTTTCAAGCCACCAGGGTCAGGGTTCAGACCACAGCAGCCACATGACATCTGGCTTTCTTAACCACCAGACTATGGCATGGTCTCATTTATTTATTGAATTATTTTATTGAGCTACATTTAATTAATTCATTTTAATTTGACCAGAGAAGGACAGAGTGAGAGAGAGGGAAAGTGAGAAAGCAAGCAGTAGGGTCTGGGACTTGGACCGTGGTTGGCCTTGTGAGAGTCCAGTGCCTTTAACCACCACGCCACCTGCTGGCCCCTATATTTTTATTTTTTAGTTTTTTGCTGTAGGGTACCTGTGCTTGCCAGAGAGAGATAGAAAGGTAAAATGAGGAAGCACCTATCCTGGGGAGATGACCACACCACAATCCCTTCTCCATTCTCTTCTTGGGATTTTGGGCACACATGCACATGCACCGACCATTTTTCAAGCTGCCAGATCTGGGACTTGAACTGTGAAGTTGTCCTTGTGGGACCAAATGGCCCTAACCACCACACCACTGGCTGACCTGACCTCATTTATTTTTAAAGGATACTAATAGCTGTCTTAAATGGAAAAAAAAAATGTTAACATCTGACATCAACAAAACTGCAAAAAGATATAATTAAACTAAAAATTATTATTCAAATCTAGAGAGATACCATTATAAGACAATCAGAGGCCTGATCTCTCTTCATGAAAAGGAAGAATTAGTGGACCAGCTTATGGCCTGGTAGTTCATGCTGCTGGACCCCACAAGGTCAACCATGAGTTTAAGTCTCAGATTCAGTGGCTTGAAAACACACCAGGAGGACCAGCAGTTAGCGTAATGGCTATGTCACTGGCCTCCCACATAGTCGACCATGGTTCGAGTCCGGACTCGGTGGCTTAAACTCACGCCGGGTGCGTGTGCGTGCATGCCCAAGATCCCGAGAGGAGAATGGGGGGGAAGGTTTTTTTGTGATTTCTCACTTTCTATCTCTCTGTCTCTCTGTCTGTCTGGCGAGCACAGGCGCCCTATAGCATAAAACCTCTCCAAAAAAATAATTTAAAAAAACAAAAAATAACACCAGGCAAGTGTGTGCATATGCCTAAATCCCAATGATATGAAAAAATGGAGAAAGGAATATGGTGTGACTATGTCCCATTGGGGGATGTTTTCTTGTTTTTTCTCTCTCCCTGTCTCTCCCTCTCCCTCTCTCCCTGTGAACACATATCCTCTAGCAAATATTAAACTCGGAGATGAGGAGAAGGTTGGAATTTAAGGGAAACTAGCAAGTTTTAAAGAGATGTTAAAACATATTAACACTTGTGAACCAGCAGTTAGTGTAATGGCTATGGCGCGGGACTCCCACAGAGTCGACCGTGGTTCATGTCCCGGACCCGGTGGCTTAAACTCACACCGGGTGCATGTGCGTGTGTGCCCAAGAGCCCGAGAGGAGAATGGAGGAGAAGGGATTGCGGCGTGGCCATTCCCCCTGGGGGGTGATTTCTTGCTTTCTGTCTCTATGTCTCTCTCTGTCTGTCTGGCGAGTGCACGCGCCCTATAGCGAAAATCTCTCCAAAAAAAAAAAAAACATATTAGCACCAAATTGAAAACAACTTCCTTAAGATAATATTTTATTCATATTAGGGCTGCATAAATGTTCTTACTGTCCCAGACAGATGTGCCAACTCTGAACTGAAAATCGGTCCCCCAGAAGGCCACAAAAGTGGGGCTAGGAAGAAATGGAAAAAATGGAATAAAGGTGACACTGAAAAATCATAGTGAACTGTGACATCCAAAGTAAAGAAAAACAAATGATGGAGATTATTTTGAATCTAAGAAGGCAAGGCAAATTCCCTCTTATATAAGCTAACAATAACCAAAAACCCCACAGGATGGGGCCAGCAGGTTCACCTTGTGGTTAAGGTGCTCGACTCCCACATGGCTGACCATGGTTTAAGTCCTGGACCTGGCAGCTTGTTTTCTCACTTTCTCTCTCTCTCTCTCTCTCTGGAATGTGCAGATGCCCTATAGCAAAAATTTAACAACTATAATAATAATAACAACAAATAGGATTAAATAAGTATTTAATAAACACACACACAGGAAAAGAAAGATGATGGTTCCGTGTGTGTCTTACACGTGCCTCAGTCTCTCTGCAAACATGAACTCTGGCCGAGGGAAGGGTGGTTATTCGCCCAGATGAACACACCCCTGGAGCTGCTAGTTGTGGGAGAGCCTGTGGATCAGCACTCACAAATCCCCAGGTTCACGTATTACTGACCTTCCCTCAGAGTGGTAAGATACGAATTTATTGTCATTCTGGTTTCAGGTAGCCTCCCCAGTTCTTTCAGGCTGCTGCTGGGACCCACCTTGGCTCGCGCATTTCTTCAAATGGCAATAAGACCAGTATGATTTATAAAATGATAGTGGCTTGGGACCAGCAGTTAGCGTAATGGCTGTGTCTCTGGATTCCCATGTAGTCGACCGTGGTTCGAGTCCTGGACCTGGTGGCTTAAACTCACGCCGGGCGCGTGTGCGTGCGTACCCAAGATCCCGAGAGGAGAATGGAGAAGGGATTGCGGTGTGGCCATTCCCCCTGGGGGGGTGATTTCTCGCTTTCTGTCTCTCTGTCTCTCTCTGGCGTTCTGGTGAGCACACACGCCCTATAGCAAAAAATCTCCGAAAAAAGAACAAGAACAACAAAAAAAAAAATGACAGTGGCTTTGCCACCTTCAGAGAACAGTTGAAGGTGTGAGATAGGGCAAGTCAAGCCTGACAGTAAGTCTCAATAAATGTTAGCTATTCTTAGAATACAATTGCTATTTGCCTGCAGTCAGTGTCTGAGGTCCTCAAGACAAGAACCATACCGCCCTCCAGAACTGGGTTCCCACCACACAGCTTGGTGGCCAGCTCCTGGTAAATCACTAAATGGTAGATTCACCAAATACGTGAACTAATATATAGGTGCAAAGGTCCTATACCATGGTCTCTGCAATGATGTAGAGTTCTTTTTTAATCTATAGTTTTTGCTATAGAGCATGTGCACTCACCAGAGAGACAGAGAGAGGGAAAGTGAGAAATCACCCCCCCAGAGGGGATGGCCACATCGCAATCCCTTCTACACCACACTGCTCTTGGTTTGAGTCCCAGATGGAACAGCTTGAAAATTACACATGCACCTGGTGTGATTTTCAAGCTGTTCGGTATGGGACTCAAACAAGGCAGTCAGTCATGTGGGATTCAGCTGCCTCAACCTCTGTGTCACCTGCTGGCCCTAGACTTTTTACTTTTTCTTTCTTTCTTTCGTTCTTTTTTTTTTTTTTTATTTTTTTTATTTTTTGGAGAGGTTGTGCTCACCAGAAAGACAGAGAGAGACCAGGAGACAGAAAGCAATGAATCACCCCCCAAGGGGTATGGCCACAACACAATCCCTTCTCCTCTCAGGATCTTGGGCACGCATGCACACGCGCCTGGAGTGAGTTTAAACCACCGGGTCTGGGACTCGAACTGCAGTTGACTACATGGGAGTCCAGCAACATAGCCATTATGCCAATTGCTGGTCTCAGACGTTTTCTTATTTAATATAGAAATAAACTGTTCGGGGCCAGCAGATAGTATGGTGATTGGGATGCTGGACTTCTACATAGCTGATTGTTGTTCAAGACCCAGACCTGGCAATTTCCTTTCTCTCTCTCTTATCTAACTGGATAATAATAAGAATAAATAAATAAAAATAAATTAATAATTCTAAAAAAGAAAAAGGAAATTGTTCATAGTGTAAAATTTTCAAAATAAGAATCTAATTGTGGGTAGGTGAGGAGCAGAGACAAAAGTTTTCAGTTCTCCTTTAGATCTTTTCCTAAACTGCTTGACTTTTCAACCAAGCCCATGTGCTATTTTTAAAGCATTATTGTATTTATATCCACAGGAATTACCAACACGGTGAATGATATGCATATACTGTCTTTCTAGGCCCTTTAGTTGTATCAGAATTTTAAAAGAAGTAAATATTTCATGTTTTAAAAATCTCATTTTATTCTATAACCTTCAAATTATTCCCATAGAAGTTATTTTAGGTCAGAAGTTGAAACCTGGCAGCTAGCATAGCAAACTAGGCCTATTAACTTTTTTTTTTTCATTTAACTTTTGTTATAGGGCATGTACACTTGCCAGAGACACAGAGAGAGGGGCAGTGAGAAATCACCCCCTAGGGGGATTGCCATGATGCAATCCCTTCTCCTCTATTCTCCTCTTGGGATTTTGGGCACCCCCACACAAGCACCTGGTGTGTTTCAAGTCGCGGGTCCAGGACTTGAACTGCAGTTGGGCATGTGGGAGTCCAGCACCTTAATCACTATTCCAACTGCTGACCCTGTTGCCTCCTCTTTATTTTTGGGAGAGGTTTTTACTATAGGGCACGTGTGCTTGCCAGAAAGACAGAGACAGAAAGCGAGAAATCACTCCCCAGGGGGCATGGCCACGATGCAATCCCTTCTCCTCCATTCTCCTCTCAGGATCTTGGGCACATACACTCACGCGCCTGGCATGATTTTAAGCCACCGGGTTCAGAACTCAAACCACAGTCGACTACATGGGAGTCCAGCGACATAGCCATTATGCCATCTGCTCTTCCCTGTTGGCAACTCTTATAAGAGAAATTTCAAATGAAGATCTGGATTCATCACTTCTCTTGAACAACAAGATGTCAGGAACTCGGACACCATGAAACTGAAAAGCAATCGCTCCCTGGGCCCAGGGTCCACTCCTGCTCACTTCATTCACTACTGGTATCATTTGTTCCTTCTAAATCTACAAGTGCCAATGGCTCCATTCAAACCATACTTCTTAACCCCCATTAATTCATTCCAAGCCAAAGCAGCTCTTGAGAATGGTTATTACTTACTTATACTTGTAATCAACGATCCGGACTTCAAAGGTAGACACTGTTTTCAGTGCATTTACAAGCTGCATGAAAAAAGAAACATTCAGAATTTCCTTTCTTCTCCTGTTTTACTTTCCTTTATGAGTCTTAAAATTTCTTTCTTTCTTTTTTTCATTTAACATCTTTCAGGTATTAAATATATCTTAGCCCATTGTTTTGAACCTTAATTGAGTTCAAATCTAGGTTCCACACTGTGAACACATTACTCTACCTCTCTAAAATTCCAATGCTCTGGGATGTTATGAGGCTGAAAGGAAAAAATCCATAGACTCGAAGCACTCAGCATAGAAATACACCAAGTGCTCACTGTTATTAGCGCAGTTTGCTACTTAATCCTTCAACTTTCAACATATTTTGCTGAGCACCCCTTATGTGTCCAGAACTACTTGTTCTAGACATTATGTTGAGGTTTCTTCTCATTCATTGTCTCTTTTTAGATAAACTACTAGCGCTTCAGACTTAATTCTCTGAAAATATGAAGTCTTGGCAGAAAAACGGCTTCAGTATTTCCACATAGAAAAACAATCATTCTTCTAGTAAACAGAAAGTAGCAAAGCATGATTAATCTATTATCAAACACATAGTCACGGTTCTGTATGCCCTCACAATGAGGCCAACTTAATCCATCACTGTGGATTGCCACCATTTGGAAATGTCTGCACTGTGGACTGGTTCCAGGGCCAGGTGGTTAAGGCAGCTGGATCCCATTTAGCTCGCTGTGCACTTGCAGTCCTGGACCCAGTGGCTTGAGAAACGCACTGGGCACATGTGCATGCATGCCCAAAGTCCCCCAAAGGAGGGAGAGATGGTGAAGGGATCGTAGCATGAACGTGCCCTATGGCGTGGGTCGATTCCTCCTCCTCTCCCTCACTCTCTGTCTTTGTCTCTCTCCGGTGAATGTAGGCACCCTCTGGAACAAAAAGGAAAGGGAGAAATTTCCGCACTTGAAGGATGTCACCATGTGGCATACACTGTACTAAACAGCGCTCACAGTGATATTAAATACCACTGATTATGCACACATTGTGTGGCATTTCCAAGTGCTTTAGATTTATGTCGCTTAATTCTCGTAAAAGTCATATCAAGTACGTATCATTATTAGCCCATTTTAGAAGCAAGACAACAGAGGCTTAGACAAGTTAATTTTCTCAGCATTCCCAGCTCACCAAAGCAGAGCCAAAATTAAATCTAGGTCTTCCGATTCCTGGTATTTGTGTCTTTAACCAATGCACTTTACCCTCCATTCATAGAAGGCAACGAGCCGGATGGGACATAGCAGAGGGTGGGGGATGGGGAATCAAGGATGGCAAAACAAAAGGCAAGGTATGCAGGACATAAGAATTGGAAAATTATTTGCTGAGAACATGTATGTTGATGTGCTTGATTGAGCCAATGCACAGGGTATTTTGGATGGAAAATTCATTTGTGTGTTGTGATGGTGTATAGTGAATTAATGTAGAAAATGAATAAATTTTTAAAGATAAATAAATAAATAAACTGAAAAAAAAAAGAAGGCAACGAGCCGTCACCACAGCCTAATCCTTGCCTTGTTCCACACACACACACACACACACACACATAATTATAAAACGAAAGTTTCTCTCTTCAGACAGCCCCTGGCCTCTATGAAGATACCGCTTACCTCAAAGAGTTGAAAGAGTGAGGACAGAAGGTCAGAATCCCATTTTCCAGGACAGAGTTAATCAGATGGCATTAGCCGTGGTCCTTTAATGAATGTGCCCACATAAAAGGAATCACATACCTCTGAGCATCCACAGCGAACTGGCTCTTTTCCAGGATTTCTAGTTCTACCAAAGAGGTGGCCCTATCCCTTCTAATATGACCGCGAACACCCTGAGGTTAGCAGGATTCCACAGACTATCATTTAATTAGGGCATTTGGGTTTTATTAACTAGTCACTAATCAAAGTTTAGTCCAAGGTGCTTTCTTTCCAGGTCGGCAGCTGACTTTTCAAGTGAGGTCTAGTCCTTGGGAGATGAGCAGCCAGGTGGGTGTTCCTGGAGTGGAGCAGGAGCTGAATGACCAAGTCTCGCCGTTGGGCACCATCGTGCCAACAGTCTGCAAGGATGGTCTACAAACACCAAGCCTGCACTGTCACACATATCAGAGCTACCCCTTAGGTCTTATAGGTCTTCTTTCATTATTCTATGTTTCTGTTTCTTTTTGTTTTTCTTTTCCTTCCTTTATCTTCAGATTTTTGCTACAGGGCATGCATGCTCACTGGAGAGAGACAGAGACAAAGAGAGAGGGAAAGCGAGAAAAGCATCCCCCAGGGGGATGGCCTTGCTTCAATTTCTTCTCCTCTAGTCTCTTATCGGGATTTTGGGCACACACACACACACACACACACACACACACACACACACAGAACCAGCATATGTTTTAAGCCGAAGGGTCAGGGACTTAAATTGAGGAGTCAGCAACGTGGGACCCAGCCGCCTTGACCACCATAGCTTCCGCTGCCCCTCTCACAGGACTTCTTTACAACTCGGTGCTGTTCCTTATCCGGCCTTCCCAATGGGCTGCGAACAGAGGCAGATTCAGCCTCCCAAGGTCTAGCGTTAGAGCAGCTGAACACTGTTAGAAAGCAGGCTCGGACCCAGCCCACCTTGACGGCCCCTTCCTCTACTCACTACCTGGGTGGCCTTGGATGTTATTTACCCTCTAAGCCTCGATGTCCTTGCATAGAAGAGAGAACGCTAATAAAATTCCTAAAAATAAATAAATAAACAAACAAACAAACAAAAATAAAATTCCTATCTGTGGGTTTGCTGGGAAGGCTGGAGAACAAAAAGCTTGGGGGCGGGGGGGGGCACAGAGAAATACACTCGGCACAAAGGAGCGCTCAGAAGGTGTTACTTGTGTCCCTGTACACTACTGATCTGTTGGCTTTTGAAGCTGCTCAGGTATCTCCTCCCACAATGCACTATTTCATACCTCTTTACTTTTGGGTCTTTAAACACGTACACGTGCACACGTGTGCTCACACACACACACACACACCAACACTGCTCATTTCTTCCGTTCACATAGCTTATAATCAACACTCATTAGGCCGTGTCTTGTGCCCTCCATAATCCATGTGGACCTCGGGAAGAGATGCCAATTACATGATTTCGAACACTGTGTTAGGTACCCAGAGTGACCTGTGTAAAGCATTTTACCCAAAACCTGCTTCCACTTCCCTCTTACTAAGTTCATTCCATCACTTCCCCTTGACTGCCCTAACTGAAAGCCTATGACTCTTGACACTGGTCCTGACCTCACCTAATGGGATAGTGTACATTCCAATTTCCTCCGTTCACATAGCTTATAATCAACACTCATTAGGCCGTGTCTCGTGCCCTCCATAATCCATGTGGACCTCGGGAAGAGATGCCAATTACATGATTTCGAACACTGTGTTAGGTACCCAGAGTGACCTGTGTAAAGCATTTTACCCAAAACCTGCTTCCACTTCCCTCTTACTAAGTTCATTCCATCACTTCCCCTTGACTGCCCTAACTGAAAGCCTATGACTCTTGACACTGGTCCTGACCTCACCTAATGGGATAGTGTACATTCCAAAAGGAGGTGTCGTAGGCTCTAGCTCCAAAAGGTATCTCGAATCCATGTATCTGGGCTTCCCTTCTATCATCGTGGTCATCAGACTCTCCTCTGGACCACAGAGTCTCCTAGTCAATCTCCCTGCTCCTGCTCTGGCAACCAGAGTGATTTAAAAATCGGTCAGTCATGTCCTAGTGTATTTTTTTCCTTCTATTTGCTACCATAGCAAATTGCCACAAACGTAAGCAGCTTACAACTACCTAACTTATGGGGCCAGGTGGTGGTGCATGGGTGGTCCTAGGTGTGAGTCTTGGGACCTCCAAGTATGCATGTGCCTGTGATCTGGACCAGCTGAAACTGGGGGTGGGTTATGGTCTGAGGAGCTCTGTTGAGGGTGCCTCCCCTCTCTGACAGAGAAATAGACACGCAATCTTTATAAACATATGCACATATTTTTCCTCTTAAACTTCTGTAGGATTGAAGACTGACATGGGTGACAATGGGCTAAAGCCAGGGTACCTGAATTGGACTCCTCCCGGAGGCTTGGGAGGACCCATTTCCTTGCCTTTTTGGCTTTTGAAAGCCGTCCATATTTTGAGGCTGGAGGATCCCTTCTTCTTCTTCAAAGATGTATCTCTAGACCTGCTTCCTCCACTGTGTCCTTTGAGGACCGTCTTTCCTGCCTCCCTCTCCTACTTTTAAGAAAATGATGAGCTAAGAGCTATCAGTGAGAAGAATCCAGCTAAGAAAGAGCTTTCTAGGCAGAGGGAAAGGTTCTCTGGTAGACAGAGTTGAAGACTCATTTGTGATGACATGGGGCCTATGCAGATAATCCAGGAATTCCCTGCTTCAGGCCAGCTAGTTAGCAACCATAATTCTATCTGCAACCTCCATTTCCTTTGCTGTGTAACCCACCTAGTCACAGGTTCCAGGGACTGGAGGAGAGCAGGTGACATCATTCTGCCTACCAACTCTGCTTAAAACCTACAGTGGCTTCCTCTCACATGGAAAAACACCCATCTCCCCAGCAGGTCTAGGAGGCAGGTCTGTAACCTCCCTGTACCACGTGTGACTTCTCGGAGTCTTCCAGTACATCTGAGTCCTCTCTCCCAACACCGTAGCCCTGCAAGTGTTCTCTCCATTGCTGGAACCCCTAAAGCTCAGGCCTGCCCAGGAGGCTCCTTTCCTGCTACCTGCTTCCCTGGTTAGGTCTCGGTCCAAGCCTTGCTTGACTGCCTTCCCTTCCCATCCTCGCCCCTGCTCCCCATTCCACATCCTTACCTGACATCGCCTAACTTAGCAACGTATTTACTTATTTCTTGTCTCTCACCTCTAAGGTGCAAGTTCCATGAGGGAGGGGCCTTCGTGGTCTTTTTCTCTGCTATATCTCCAGGGCCTAGCACATGGCTGGCATAGAGCAGGTGCTAAGCATGCTTCTGAGGAACAAATCTTACAACCATAAGGCTATCTTCAAGCCACGAGGTTGCAGGTAGGAGCCTTACATAGAGATCTTGTGAAGGTTACATATAACTTATTAGTTGGTGCTGTTGAAGTGAGTTGGGCTGCCTAAGATTGAATGATTTCTTTTATTTTTTTTTAAGAATTGTTTATTTAATTTTATTTATTCATTCATGTATTATTATTTTTTTAATTTGAGCAGGGAGAGACACAGAGAGAAAGAGAGGGCAAGTGAGAAAGCAAGCAACCAGGTCCAGGATTCAAACTGTGGTTGGCCATGTGGGAGTGTCCAGCACCTTAACCACCATGCCACCTGCTGGCCCCATAAGACTGAATGATTTCTAAGACACGTTGTCATGTAAGAGGATGCAGACTCTTCCAATTAACTTCATGCTGGATCCACAGGATTGCCGCAAAGCACCAACCATCTTCCCAAAGATACTCTTGCATTTTTGCTACTAGTGTGTCTACAGAGCAAATGTTTAGCAAGCAATGGCAGTAAAGGCAGAACTCAGGCGTGTTAGTCTCTACTTCTATTCTGAATGTTTGCAGATGTTCATCTAACATACAGTGATCTAATACGTATACGATATGGAAAAACTTGTTTGTGCAAAAGGTGGTTTGGTGACTTCCACTAGAAATTCAAATACAATAAATGAACTAAGGGTAAGCATTAGCTAACAGTTTCAAAGCCTTTTAAAAAATTTATCAGCAAGTGTGTGTGCGCTCACGAGAGAGAGAGAGATTATCAGCAAGTGTGTGTGCGCTCATGAGAGAGAGAGACAAAGAAGAGAGAAGGAAAAAGCACTCCCCAATGGGGCATATTCACACCTCAATCCCATCTCCTCCACCCTGTTGGGATTAGGGACACACATGTGTGTACACTCATTTTCAGGCTACTGAGCCAGGATCTGAACAGCAGTTGGCCATGTGGGGTCCAGCTCCTTTAATCTCTAGGCCATGGATGGGGTTAGCCCAAATCAGAGCTTTTAATGTAATGTAAAAGAATATAAAGCACATTAATTATAGGAAGCTAAATTCAATATGACAATATTAACAATGCATACTCAACTAACCTCATTTTGGTTTAGTATTTTCCGGTATTCTGTGCTCCGTGCAAGAATAGTGACTCGAATTTTTCCATCCTGTAATCAAAATGAAAAGGTAAAATAATGCTATAAATGCCAGAACAGATGAAGGAATATCTGAACTTAAAATGTAATTTTCACAAAGAGATGAAACTCAAAAAGGATATATTTACAGAACTACCTGTATTATTATTATTTTTTTAATTAACAGAGGGCAGGTGTGCTTACTGGAAGGAGACAGAGAGAGAAAGAGAGAGAGAGAGAGAGACATGAGAAAGCAACCCATGGAGAATGGCCATGCCACAATCCTTTCTCCCCCATTTATCCCCAGTTTTGGGATTCTGGGCACACGCACACATAAATGCCCAGTGTGTTTCTTAACCCACCGGGTCCAGGACTCAGACCACATGGTCAGCCATGTGGGATCCAGCTCACACAACCACCAGGCCACTAGCTTCCCAGCTGTATTACTTTTTAGCCTGATCCCTTCACCTTCTTTCAGGGATAAAAATGGACCTACTTTAGACACAGAGCAAAATGTTTCATTACGCTGTTCTGGGTAGTTGGTTGTGTGAATTTTCTGACAAAGTTCATATGAGGATTTAGGAGATCATGGGCAAGATATGACCAAAGAGAGGGCAAAGAAAAGGAGAGGCTAAAGCACAGTCTGGTAATACCCCCTACTGAATCTTCCGTAGGCTGCTCACACCCGATTTCACAGGACTCCAGTAAGAAAACTTGTAACACAGGAAACGGTCTCGTGATTCTTTTTCCGCAAAGGTGATATCGATTTTTATTAGGGATGAAAAAGTAAGCCCACCTCAGAACCCCTCACGTATCCATTACCTCGGGTCCCTCCTGTGTGATATTCAGTCTGTGAAGCACATGCTGAGAAAATGCCCTGAATAATCCAGTGTTTTGACAGCCAGATATCTAAAACAAAAACACCAGTTCACAGGACAATGGATACTTTTGCATTACAATGTAAGATGCTGACAAGTTACTATAAATGTAACCTTAAAATCTATTAAGCATAAAGTCTTATGAAGATGAATGTTGACAGGAGCCATCACACTTACCAGAGGAGTGTTATAGAACAGCCCGTAGCGCATGCGGGGGAGCAATGAGAAAACAGCTTCTTTAAAACATACCTAGGAAGGAAGATATTTTAAAAGACAAGAGAATATAATTTGCACCCTTCACACAAAAATAGCACTTATAATTTTGAAGCCTAAGTCTTGATTAATCTCCACTTTGCATTAAGATGGTCTGAACAGCAAACTATTTTATTCAAACTGAATAAAATTCAAAGTTTTAGAAATCTCAGAGTTTTAAAAAGCTACAAAGTTAACATTAAAGATACTAGTTATAATAAAACTAAGAAGTCAGAAATCTATGGCAATAGCTACTAGAAACAAACTTTAAATGTTTACTTTATGAGTAAGTCATCTGCCCGTGACAGCTATAGACATTTCAGTAAAGTTTCCATACCCTTTTGGAATCGTAAGTTTTCAAATGTATTACATCGTAATCTGTAAATGCTTTCCATGTCTCAGCGAAAAGGTCACCATATCCATAAGAGCTCTGGAGACAGAAACAAAGTAAGTTAGAGCTAAAGAAGGATAAAAGCAGGTGGCATAGTGGCTAAGGCACTGAACTCCCTACATGGCTGACTGAGGTTCAAGTCCTGGATGAGGTGGCTTGCTTTCTTGCTTTCTCTCACTTTCCCTTTCTAGTGAGTGCATGTGCCCAAGAGCAAATATAAATAGTAGTAATAAATAAAATTAAGTAAACAATTCTTTAAAAAGAAAGAAGGATACAATATGCTTTCTAAAGATGCAACAAAATACCCAAATCTGCCTGAGTGCTAAAAAGTAATGCCCCTGGCTTTTCTTCCCTGGCTGTTTGAGAAGAGGCCATCATCTTTATGACACAGTAATTATCTGAATCAGGAAATTCATGACCAACTGAGGGGAAGGGACTGCAGCATGGCCATCCCCTCTCAGGGGTGATTTCTCGCTTTCTGTTTCTCTGTCTCTCTCTGTCTTTCTGGTGAGGTCACGTGCCCTATAGCAAAAATCTCTCAAAAAAAAAAATAAATAAAATAAAAAAAAGGAAGAAAGAAAAGAAAAGAAAAAGAAAACTTCAGAGCAACAAAATGGTTTGGGAGTTTAACGTGAAAAATATAACGAATGTTAACTCTATGAAATGTTCTCCCAGGCCGGCAGGTGGCGTGGTGGATAAAGGTGCTGGACTCCCACGTGGGCAACCACCGTTCAAGTCCTGAACCTGGTGGCTTGCTTTCTCACTTTCCCTCTCTCTCTCTGTCTGTCCAATCAAACTGAAAAATAATAATAATAAATAAAGTTAAATAAATAAATTTTTTTAAAAAGAAATTTTCTCCCTCTTGACTAACAAATATAATGTGATCACTCCCCATTAATGCTGGTAACAAGAGTGATAAGAGTACCGGCACCTGGCACACTGGCTGTTCCACACACTGCTCTGAGCACCTGACATTATTACCTCACTCAGTTGCCCCACAAACCCCCGGGGCTAGGTCATATCATTTGCCTTATTTGAGAGGTGAGGAAATAGACACACTTTCAAGTAACTCACTTAAACCACAGAGCTAGGGAGTCGTAGGGCCTGGGGTGAAATCCAGCCCATGGTTCTAGACTTCATACTCCTACACTCCTGCTGAGGGTGGCTTCTCAAAGGGAAATAGTTCTTTCTGGTGAATTTACCAAATGCATTTCCTTTTTGAAAAGCAGAAGTTAATTATCAGCTCTAGCAGCTAGGAAGATCAGTTAACTTGAAAATGGTATAACTGAAGTTATAAAATTCAGGCAATAAAAATAATATGTACAGGGACCAGCAGTTTAATGGCTATGTCACTGAACTCCCATGTGGTTGACCACAGTTTGCGTCCCGGAACCGGTGGCTTGGACTCATGCTGGGCGCGTGTGCATGCGTGCCCAAGATCCCGAGAGGAGAATGGAGGAGAAGGGATTGCGGTATGGCCATCCCCCGTGGGGTGATTTCTCGCTTTCTGTCTCTCTGTCTCTCTCTGTCTTTCTGGCAAGTGCATATGCCCTATAGCAAAAACCTCTCAAAAAAAAAAAATGTGTATGTACTGTAAGATTACAGTCAAGTCTGGGGGAGGGTTATACCTTTCGTGCATCATGTTCATATCTTTCTCTCTTTATAGAATTTTTTTCAGATCTTGAAAATTCTATGTGGCACCTATTGGAGTTATTGCAAAATTATTGAGAACTGCTAGATGTGGTGAGGAGGAAAAAAAACCTATTCCTTCCCCTGATGTTTCTCCAGTGCCGTTTTAATAAAGGCCCTTTCCACATCCTCTAAAATGAAACACCCTTATTCTGGCTCAATACTAAATAAAAGGCGATTAAAAGAAGTACTTTTAGACATTTTCTTGGAATAAGATACCTCAAATAAAATGTCTTTGAAAGGAAATGTTAGTCATAAAATGTAGTAATCCTGACAGACCCCGTCTCAGGGAAATCATGCTTTACTCAATAATAACACTTCTCATTCCCATTCTCTGCCATGAGGGAAGGAGCGGCTTCCTCTCACTTTCATGTGGAAGAGTACTTGGATATTCTAGTCCAGCCTGGTGGTCCACGCGGGTGCCACTGCACAGTGCTGAGGCCATGTGGTAGGCCCAGGGCAGACCCTAGCCCACCCTAAACAGGCTGGGCGCGGTACTGGGTACCTGTGGCCCTCACTAATGGAGAGGCTGGGCAAGAGGACTGCATGGTGGAGAGGCCCTGTCCAAAAGACCTCTCTTTTTTTCTAACTCCTATTCTTATTCTCTGTCATTGAGAAAAAAAATTTTTTTTGTGGGGGGAGAGGTTTTTGCTATAGGGCATGTGCGCTCACCAGAAAGACAGAGAGACAGAAAGACAGAAAGCAAGAAATTACCCCCTGGGAGGATGGCCATGTTGCAATCCCTTCTCCTCCATTCTCTTCTCTGGATGTTGGGCACACACGCACACGTGCCCGGTGTCAATTTAAGCCACCAGGTCCGGGACTTGAACCTCGGTCAGCTACATGGGAGTCCAGCAACATAGCCATTACGCTAACTGCTGGTCCCCTGAAATGATTACTTTTTAAAAAACCTTGCTATAGGGCACAAGCACTCCCTGAAGAGAGAAAGAAGGAGAGAAAGTGAGGAAGCATCCCCAGGAGGATGACCAAGCTGCAATCTCTTCTTCATTCTCCTCTTCGGATTTTGGGTACAAAAGCCCAGAGTGTTTTTCAAGCCCTAGGTCCAGGTCTCGAACTACGCTGTTGGCTATGTTGGATCTAGCCACCTCAACGACCACACCAACAACTGGCCCAGCGTGTGCATATTTAAATGCAAGTCTTAGAAAGTTCTGTTGCACAAGATCAGAATCACAGAGTGAGAACAAGGCAAAGGCAGACCTGAAGCAGAGAGCACGTTCTCACTTACGGTGTCCCACATCACGACGTACACGTCTGTGCTGAACGAATTATTAACGTGCTGCGTGATGTACAGATTGATGAAATCACAGAAGTGGTGATACATGTTAACACCTAGAGTTAGAAAAAAGACATCTGTGTTAATTAACCCCCAAAGAGCGCAACTGAACAATTTTGATTCTACCCCATCTACTTAACAGTTTGAGGGACTTTTTTAAAAAATTATTTATTTTTTTTATTGTCATCGTAATCTTCTTTATATTACATTGGATTGCATATAACTTTACAGTGTATTACATTACTTTTTCAAAAGGGAATGCCATGCATGTCAGTCAGTACAGAGACATTAATCTCCCCACTTCATCATTCACAGTTTGATGGACTTTTCAATGAAATAAAGGGAGAAAAAAGCTAGTGTTTTTCCAAACATGAAATGGTCCTCAATTTGCAAACTGACTGGGTTCAAAAATTCACTTTAAGGGGCCAGCAGATGGCATAGTGGCTCCTTGCTGGTCTCCCACATGGCCGACTGTGGTTCAAGTCCCAGACCTGGTAGCTTGAAAATCATACTGGGTACATGAGCATGCATGCCTAAGATCCTAGGAGGATAATGGAGGAAAAGGGATTGCGGTGTGGCTATGCCCACTGGAGGGTGATTTCTCACTTCCCCTTTTACTGTCTGTCTCTCTCTCCAGTGAGCATACACACTCTATGGCAAAAACCTCTAAAAACAAACAAACAAACAAATTCACTTTAAAATGGCTTATTTAGAAATCAAGAATGTATTTTTCCCATATACACCAAGTAACAAATGATCATTGTTCCCTGAAGAAGAGTAGAAATATGGGGTCATGTAGATTTATCATTATCTCTTTTGGTCATTTATTTATTTTATATTTTTAAAGAATTCTTTAATTTTATTTAATTATTATTATTATTTTTAAATTTGACCAGAGACAGGCAGAGGGAGAGAGAGAAAGTGAGAAAGCAAGCTGCTAGGTCCGGGACTTGAACCATACTTGGCTATGTGGGAGTCCAGCACCTTAACCACCATACTACCTGCTAGCCCCACTTCTTTATTTTTTTAACAGTTTTTATTTATTTGTTTGTTATTATTTTTTTAACTTGCTATAGGGCATGTGCACTCCCCAGAGAGAGATAGTGAGAATGAAAGAGAGAGGTGAGAGAAAGAAAATCAGAAAACAAGCAACCTGATCTGGGACTTGAACCACAGTCAGCCTTGTGAGAGTCTAGCACCTTAACCAACAGCCCACCTTCTAGCCCCATGATCATGTATTTTTAAAGATCAATTAAGCGACACCCGTTCATCATGGAAACAATGGCAATGATGATGACTATGAACATTTTGGTAGTTTTCATTCTTGCCTTTTTTCCCTATTTCATCACAACTTATACCCTCTTTGGGAGAATATTAACCTCTGAAAAGAGCTAAATGCCTTATGTTCCAATCGAAAGAGCACCAACTCTGAGGTCAGAAGAACTGGGTCAAATTTCATCTCAGTCATTCCCAAACGACATTCTCAGAAAAGTTAATAAAGTCCCTAAGCTTGAGCTTCTCTGCTAGAAATGAGAAAATTACACCTGAGAGCCAGCATTGCCATAGAAACCCCAAAACAATGTACCTCGAAATGTCCATCCCCGTGTCTGGCACACAGTAAGACGGAGGGAAGACTAGCTGGAGCTGTGGTTACCACTGTTTGTAAGTTCATATTCCCGTCATTCAGGGAAACAGAACATGCACCCTCTCGACACAGGAACGCAGGGCCCCGTGTTCAACCTGGACAGCCACACACCAAATGGGATGGGATAAACGCTAAGAACCGGCATTTAAAACGTGCTTTTTTTTTTTAGAGTCAGGGGGAGAGGAGGAAGCATCCCCCCATAGAGAATGCTCATGCCACAATCCTTTCTTTTTCATTTCTCCCTCCTTTCAGTGTTGGCGCCCACACACATGTGCCCAGCGTTTCTCAAGCTGCCAGGTCTGGAACCACCAGGTTATAGAGGCAGCCCTGAAACATTCATTTTAAAAGAGGAAAAATGTTGTAAAGAAAAAAGACCGATTCTCAAAAGCAGAAATCATAAAATATTCTGACTTTGTTGTCACAGTGAATAATAATGTTGCGTGTCAGGAAATAAGAGTAAAAATTAGGAGCCATGCTGGCGTGGTGGTTGAGGCACTGGATTCACACGTGAAATTAAATATTAAAAAAAAAAACAGTAAAAGCTACTCAGTTTTTTTCAGGCTGTTACCTTGGATGAATGTTTGGAAGGGCTAAGTTTTTCACCCAGAAATATGTTGGCAAGGGACCAGCAGGTAGTGTAGGGGCTATAGCACTGGACTCTCACATGGTCGAACATGGTTCATGTCCCAGACACGGCAGCTTAAAACTCATGCGGAGTGCATGGGCATGTGTGCCCAAAATCCCGAGAGAAGAATGGAGAAGAAGGGATTGCGGTGTGGTCATCTCCCCTGGGAGGTGATCTGTCGCTTTCTGTCTGTCTGTCTCTGTCTCTCTGGCAAGCGCACATGCCCTATAGCAAAAATTTCTCAAGATAAAAAATAATAATAATAATAAAAATGTTGGCAAAGAGCATATTTTCATAATAACAATACTAAAGTTTTATTAGAATCCATCCTCTCCTCCCAAGTTAGGTACACAGCACACATGAGCTCTCTCACAGAACATGCAGCAATTTCCTACACTTACTGGGGATGTAGCATGCACTGTAGAGTGCTTTGTGGGGACCAGCAGTTGGCATAATGGCTATGTCACTGGACTCCCATGCAGTAGACCACAGTTCGAGTCCTGGACACAGTGGCTTAAACTCATGCTGGGTGCATGTGCATGCATGCCCAAGATCCTGAGAGGAGAATGGAGGAGAAGGGATTGCAGTGTGGCCATCACCCCGGTGGGAGATTTCTCACTTTCTGTCCTCTCTCTCTCTCTTTCTGGTGAGTGCACGCACCCTATAGCAAAAACCTCTCAAAAAAAAAAAAAAAAAGAAAAGAAAAAAAGAAAAGAAAAAAAAGGAAGAGAGTGCTTTGTGCTACCTGGATGTCAAAATGAAGAGAGCATAGGCTCCGTCGTCAAGAAATGTACTAGCAGTGCATCTCATTCTACAGAATGCTCATTCTCCGAAGGTAAGAGATAATATAAAGAGGAAAACTGGAGCCAGCCCTTGGTCTGATGGCTAAGGCAGCCAGATTCCACATGGCCAATTGCAAAATCTGAATCCTAGACCCAGTGACTTGAGAAACACACCATGTGTAAGTGTGTGTGTGTGTGTGTGTGTGTGTGTGTGTGTGTGTGCATGTGCACTCAAAATCTGGAAGGAGGAAGAAATGGAGGAGAAGCGATTGTGGTGTGACCACGACCCACAGAGGGTGCTTATTTGCTTTCCTTCTCTCTCTGTCTCTCTGGCACGCACATGAATGGCACCCTCTGACAAATTATGAAAAAAAAAGAAAGAAAGAAAGTAAACTTGGGTGACAGCGTAAGTTAGAAGAAGAGTTATGAAAATAGGAAAGAAATGGCACGTGTCGAGCCTGGCCTATTATTCGTACTTTGTGTGTTTTATTGCATAAGCATCGACATAAATTGAGCAGCTCACGCAGACGCGCCTCTTTTATAGGCAGATCACAGCGCCGTGTTTGCATATTTAAATTTGCATATTTTAAAAACGAGTCAGAACCTCAAACATAGCATTTTTACTTGCTCTCATTTCAAAAGCTTAAACTTGTCTGAGTTCTGAATCTAATACTCTGTAACAAAAGAATTATGACTTCTGAAGGCAAGCACATTAAAACAGTGATCAATAAATTATGGGAATTCTGAAATATTCGTGACAGGGGGCTCTCTATTTCACTGGAAGCCCAGCCTCTCGTGAATTTTGATAGGGCAGCACAATAATCTCCATCGCTCATAATAAAAGAGAAAATGTAGTACGATCTGCACTTTTCCTCTTCAGTCGTTTACGAATTAGAACTGTGTTTGCAAATTGAGAGTCAGATGCTATAGGCATAAATGGGAATATATTTTGAATTTTAATTGTTTTCAAGAATCTACTGCAGCGGTAACCTGCAGAAGATTTTAAAGTTCACTTTAGTCAAGAAACAATTTTTTTTTGAGAATTATTTTATTTTTGTATATTATTAACTTTTTTTTTTTTTTGGACCAGAAACAGAAAGAGAAGGAAAGTGAGAGAGCAAGCCACCAGCTGCAGGACTAGAACCAGGGACGGCCCTGGGGAGTTCAGGACCTTAACTACCACACAACCTGCTGACCCCAGTCAAGGAAATGATATGAGAAAGTGTGCAGTGGAGGTCATTTCTTTGCTACTCATAGATTATATATGGCTTTTATAAAAATATTAGTTAAATACAATCTATATCAAGTGATTACAGAGAAAATAGAAGGGGCAAATTTAGCTATAGAAGGTGTATACACGCCTTCTTCTCTCATCTTTTGGTTTGGACTGAGTTACTTGATATCTATGGAAAGGTTTCTTCTAAAATACAAAAGGTATAAAGTAATGGAAAATTCAAACTAGTTCACCTATTTCTTTGAAGAAGAGAGATAAAAGCAAATCTACTGATGGTCATACCGTTTCCAAAACATTCATAGAAAATTATTGTACATATACATACATATATACATATTCATACATATATATATATATATAGTACTCTGTATAGAATTGCTATGCACACACACACACAAAGGAACACTGGGACCAGTAGATGGCGTAATGGTTACATTGCTGGACTCCCACCTAGTCGACCATGGTTTGAGTCCCAGACCCAGCACTTTAAGACTCATGCAGGGTGCATGTGCATGCATGCCCAAAGTCCCGAGAGAAGAATGAATTGCAGCGTGGCCACCCTCATTGGGGGATAATTTCTCACTTTCTGTCTCTCTGTCTCTTTGGTGAGCACATGTGCCCGATAGCAAAAAAGGAACAAAGTTTTATTAACCAATATATATATATTTATAAAAGAGAAGTTAACTTCTTACCTGCATCTAATTTCATGAAATATGTTGGTTTTTCAATAACAATGTCACACTGAACATCTTCTATAGGTCTGAAGTTGAGCTGGGTATAGCTTTGTAGCTCTGCAAACCTGGAATTATGAATTAGAATATGATTTCTCTTTTTTCCTTTTTTTAAGAGAGATTTCTTTTGCTATAAGGCATGTGCACTTGCTGGAGAGACAGAGAGAGACAGAAAGTGAGAAATCACCCCTAGGAGGTATGGCCATGCTGCAATCCATTCTCCTCCATTCACCTCTTGGGATTTTGGGCATGCATGGCATGTACCCAGCATGGCCTGTGTCAACTGTGTTTCTAGCAACATGGCTTCTGATTTAAAAAGGCAGTTTTTAGACCTCCCTGAAATCAACGACTCTTGGAACCAGGTGTGTCCCTCATGGGGCTCCTAGGGCTTTGCCAATGCAGTTTTGCAGAGACCTTGGCCTCTGTGAGACACCTGGCTCATCAGTCCAGACAGCTCCCAGTGGCTTAAACTAATGCCAGGCACATGTGCGTGTGTGCCCAGGATCCCGAGAGGAGAATGGACAGGAAGGGATTGCAGTGTGGCCATCCTCCCTGAGGGGTGATTTCTCCCTTTCTGTCTCTCTGTCTTTCTGGTGAGTGCACATGCCCTATAGCAAAA